GTCCTAACACTTTAAATGTTGGGGTTCTTAAACACTGAATAACAGGAGAAAGGAATCCATGAGCGGATGAAGGTTGTCCTAGAGAAACCAGTCGCTTGTGCCATAACGCCTCGAGCTATAAAGCCTGCTGATGGCATCGGTAACCGGGAGGGCGAGAAATTTCTTGCCGCCGAGTCTGAAGTCAGAGCTGTTCCCTGTGGATGTCAGTCGTGCGACCTTAATGTTTTATTCTGTTGGACACCGGGTCACCAAGTTTCGTTCGGTGGCTATTTACATAGAGAGTTACCGGTGCCATGGAAAAGTCCTCTCTCGTTTCCTGTACGTGCTCAGGTCATATGCATTACGGACTTTGCTCATGTTTAATTCTGCAGTGCAAGTGCAGCAGTAGACAGGTGTCTTTTTTCTCCCCCCCCCGCCGTTCTTCTTTTGTAGCTCAGCAATACAGCTGTTGTCTGCTGTGAGGGTGGCTTCGTGATCCGCTCGTAGCGATGGGTAAAACAGAGTGCAAGTGGGTTAATTTTTTCCAGGTGTCAGGCAGAGGCAGAACCTTGTCAATAGGAAGGGTGTGCTGTGGCTTCAGGTCTGGCGAGGAGGAGACTACCCCTCCCATTACACTTGTTCATGTTGTATGGGTTATTATATTACTTTAATGTTATTATAAAAAGAATTTACTGAAAAATGTCTCATAGAATTCTGGGAGCAGACAAAAGTCAGCAACAAATCTATGATTATTCAGTTATTTTCTTATTAAAATACTGCTGTTACAGAGCTTGCTAAATCATTTGATTTTGATTCTGTAAACAGAATTAATCAAGGAGAATAAAGAGCGTAAAAATGGAACTTTGGCCTAAAATCTCCTTATTTAACCATTCTGTTATACTAGCATGTATAATTGAAGACTCATTTTTCTTCTGTATGGTTGGAGGGTCTTCAACTCAGTGTTCTGTTCTCATTTCATATGTCTCTTTTTTCTTCAGCATTTTTCTTTAGTGACTTATTCATGAGTAATAGATGATAATCATGATTTTAGGCACTAATGTGCCATTACTGTCGTAATGCAGCACTTACTGCCTTGAAGTCATTTTCACAGGCCGACCTACATCGTCTGGACAGTATCTCTATTTTAAAGGAGTTGATTTCAGCTGAGCAGATGTTTTTTATACACTATCTGATCTTAGCCTTTTTTGCCTTGCCTGTTTATGATGCTACAATGACAATCTTCAAAGCATATATCCATATCTTTATGAATGTGAACACTGTATTAGAGTAAACTATGCATGAAAGGAGGTAGTGTGTGTACATAGGAAGTGTCAGTGGAAGTGTGACAATGTAAAAAATTGTGTTGAAGTATTGTGTTGGAATCAAGCTTTGAAATTCTTCCGTTTTCTTTTTCTGGGCGTAGGGCTTCAAAATAAGAACAGCAGTGAAACGTATGCTGGTATATCCAAGTCCCTGTGAGCCTAACTGTTTTTTTTAGACTGAGAAGTGTTGAGGTATGCTGGTAGGAAGGTAAAGAATTCTTCTGCAGTGATCCTTCGGTGCCAATTTAGGGAGTGCCTTTGCTCTTGGCTTTAGAATTAACAGACAGATTTTCACAGTGGTGATTCAGCAAAGGTCTGAATAAATAAGGAAGAAATTAAGTTAAAGTCAGAGTGGCAGCATTTCAAAACCTGTCAGTTGCGAACTTTTTTCAATGGCCATCATCTTCTAGTTGTATGCATTTATTAGTTTCACTGTGAACTGGCAGTCGTATCCTTAAAGTAGTGATCTTTGTAGCATTATAAAAGAAATTTGAACAACTCCACTGTGTTTCAGAAAGTAATATACGAGCTCATTTGAAATAGTGTATAATACAGGGGAAAACTGACCGTATCTTCTTAATAGCTTTTCTTTTTGTTACTGATTGAGGTCTAGTAAACTAATTTTTGGGGGATAAGTTATTGGGAATTAAGTTCTCAAGTTGGCACTGATACAAACCAATATGCCGCTGCCTCTTGCCTTAAACCCTACCCCTCAAAAAACCCAAAATAATAAAAAAAACCCCAGTTGTATCAACAGGCTATAAACCAGCCTGACATTATTAACATTTTCTTTCTGAAGCTTATTCCTTGAGAAACAAATGTCAAAAAAACCCCAGGCTGGCAGCATTGGAATAAAGGCCTATATGTAGTGAGTTGTAATGCAGTCATCTTTTCAGCCCTGCGTGGATCATACTGTATGAATGATTAAAGCCCTGATACTGCAAGCAATGTGATACCGGCATCATCCCTCTGAACACTGAAGTGGGACAAAGAAGACAGATAAAAGTTTAAGCTACTGAAAAATATTTTTTCACTTCTCAGATCTTTACCGAGAAAGAGAGATGTAAGAAATATGTTATGAAGATATGGTCCATGTTATTGGGGACTTGTCAAGAGTCCAGCTACTTTTCTGGCTGACACAGATGTGTGCCTGAAGTGTACAGAAATTCTGTGACCAGATAAAAGCAGCGTGTACAGTGCAGTACATAGTGATCTGGTTTGTGTATAAATAGCAACCATATTAATTGTTTACACACCACTGTGGGGTTTTGTGCTTGTAGTTTTTAGAACTCCAATTTGGAAACTTCTATTTGAAACTTCCCTATGCATATTTGTATTTACTGTAGAAAAAGAAAATTCTGTATTATAATGCTAAAATGCTTAATTAATTGACAAATATTCAACTTTTAAAAGTAATTTGGTACTGTAAAATAATATTTTTCATCAAAGGACATTGAACAGCCAAGTAGGAGCAGTGTTTTAATTGGAGGGGGAATGTTTGAGTGTGCAAGAACAGGACCCTGGAATTTTAGGGAGAATGAACAGGTTATAAGCTTTGACTCTACAACATGGAGAACCTTGAAGGGAGTTGTGGGAGGGGGGAAGTTTTGGTTGTTTTAGTAAACTGCCAATCAACCATACAGTGTAATTCCTGCCTGCCCCTTTTTAAAATTGTTTTCTAATATGACTTCTGGATCTTTACAGTAGTATTTTTAGATTTTATAACAAAGGGTGGATTTTCAGCAAATAGACTGTGGGTGTATGCAGTGTTATGCTAGCAAACCTCATTTTCATTTAGAAAACTTTCTAGCTTAGGCCTGGCTTCCTATGTGGAAAGGCATCTTTCTACATTTCTGTCTTTCCCTGGGCCAATAATAATAGATACCACTCTTTGAAATTGGACACATTAATACAGGATACTTGTGCAGATTCCAGGATGCTGTGTATCTATACATTGCTTGGTCATAAAATATTGTGCACATAATGTCTATTGCACCATGAAGGGACAGAAGATTATTCCAGGGCAGAAATTATGGCTATGAATATATTTTGAACAGAAAAATACTATTTTAAGGCATAGACTTGACTAAATACTCAGCATATTTATTCAAGGCCCAGTCTAATGCAGACATAAGTATATTGAAAGTATAGGCTGTCTCCAACTGCCCTCAGTTTAATAGGCTGAAGAAATAATGGACGGGCCCCTAGAGTAGATAACTGCTCATAGACTGAGTTGTTGCTCAATTTCCAGGAAAAGAACAGATGGGACATGAAGAAATCAAAGAAGGTTTGGAAAGTAAAAGATCTTGTTTCTTGAGGGTGTACTTTCAACACTGTACTGTATAGATTTAGGCTACAGTAGCTGTAGGTCTGGTAGTTGCATTTTTAGCTTGATTTCCACCCACACCCCACTCAAGGAAAGGTCATCTTGGTTGGTGTGTTCTTATGATCGCAGTCTTCAGTTTTGTCATATTCCCCTGCCTTGGAAATCTGATTTCTGACACTTTAGACTGCTGATGTTGCTCTCTTCATTCTTTTATAAAACAACATTCAAAACTATGAAGCCGATTATGATTGGTATCTGTGTGACAGACGGAGATTAGGGGCAGCTGAGAACTATAACTTTTTCATCAAAACATCTTATTCTCCAACAGATTCCAGGGAAGTTCTTTTATATGTACAGCACACTCTTTAGCCCTTAGAGAGGCAGTCTCAGAGATCTTGCATTATTTGCATGGAATATATTCTTATTCCTAATAGATACAGGCTAGAGTATGTAGTTGTCTTCTGTAGTAATTGATTTCTTGTCTTCCAGATAATAAGTACTTCTTCCTTCTAGTGATGCTTGGCTACCTCCTTCTCGACTGCCTAAAACTACATCTGGGTTTTGTGACTGCAGCAAGTACATTTTCTGCCTCACTGGACTCTTCAAATTGCTTTTTAAACATTGTTTTCCTTGTTGCCACTATTGCATTTGAAAGGGAAAATTTCCCCCCATAGAAACACAGCTTAAACAACTTTCTGTTTGTAAACAAAAGTATTTGTTAGAAAAACATACCTGTCACAAGGAATTGCTGTCCCTATCACTCTAATCTTCCTGCATGATGTATGAATCCTGTTGACAGTCTTCAGAGTTGGTAATGGATAATGCTACTTCTAATAGTTTTTTTCAGCTGTAACCTGATTTGCAGTTCGATACACGGAAACAGAGTAAGTTTGCAAGTGCAGTGAGACAAATTGGTGGTGGGATAAAAATCCTGGCTTGCGATTTTGTAGCTGCTCTTTTCAGATTCCCAAATGTCCGCTGTGTTTTCTCAGTTGTGAAGAGACTGCTGTTTGGGCAGCTTCCAGGCCCTGTCCTTCCCTGTAGAGAGGAAGAGGTAAGAAGGGGAAGTTCTCTATGAAAATTACAGCTTTCTTTTTTAAAATGTACTTTCTTTGTACCTCTTCAGCCTTTCATTAATAGTTACGATAAAATGCTTTTAGTCAACAGATGTAGAGAATATGCTTGAGAAAGGTAATGTGATGTACAAGGATTGGTGTGGATATTCTGGACAGGGCTGAAGGGGAAGAAACTAAGGCTAAAATATTAGTGGGAGAGTTCATGTATAAAGGTGGAAGAGTAACAGTGTGGAAATAAGAGGGCTGAAGAAATCAAATGTCTGAAATAGATTGGAGGAAAATCAAAGAATCAATCAAAGGAGAAAAGAAAATAAAATTACATCTGGAGATGGTCATCTTTGGGCTACAGTAGGAGATAAGAAAATGTTTGTACAGACTGCCTTTTGCATGAGATGTAACTGGTTATTGTAGATATGAAAAGGGCTCATTCTTCTGAGACTTTTGTTACTCTTAAGTACTGGTAAGAGATAACAGCAACAGCTAGCTTTTCAGGAAAAAGTTCCTGAAAAAAGGTGCATGGCAGGCATCAGTTAAAGAGGAAGGGGCTGGCGGGGGGGAAAGCTTTTATGCTTAATGTGTCTGGCTTGTGCAGGAGAATAGGCACTTCGGTTTAAAAGAGCTGGTGATGTTGTTGGTTTTTTTTTTTTTTCCCCCCACCCCAGCACAGTACATGGAGCACAGTATTTTGCTGTCATAAACTTGCTATTTGCAAGCACCATAGCACTTGATTGCCTTTATATTTTAAGGACTATTTCTGTTCATGGAATAATTTAGGTTGACAGGGAGTGCTAGAGATCATATAGTCCAACTTCCTGTGCAAAGCAAGACTAATTTCTGTTAGATCAGCAAGCTCAGAGCTTCGTTCTGACAACTTTAGAAAATCTGTAAGAATGGGGATTCCAGTCTTTGTAGACAACCTGCTCGTCTGCTTCACCACTTTTATTGTGAACATTTTTTTCCCTTATTTTATTGGAATTTCTCTTGTTATTGCCTCTCTTCCTTTCTCCGCTCCCCACTAAGAAACATTTGGCTCTATCTTCTAACTCAATAGAGATGGCTGAAGATAGCAATTAGATCTTCCTTCACCTCTTCTTCAGATTGTAAAAATCCCATGTTCTCAACTTCTCTGGCATCAGGTGCTTCATCCCCCTCATCCCTGACTCCAGACCCTCATCTCACACCCACTGGACTTGCTTCAGTTTTTCAGTGTCTTCTACTGAGAGGGCCCCAAAAATGGACGCAGTGCTGCAGACAGAGCCTCACAAATGTTCAACAGAGGGAATAATCACTTCCTTTGAACTGCTGGCTACAGCCTTGCTAATGCAGTTTGCCCTTCACAGTGCTAACTCTCTTTTAGGTCTCTGCATTTGCCTGTAACCAGCAGTTTTCCCTAAGTAAAAGTATTCCCAAGTGGCTCTGTTTCCATGGGATGATCAGTTTATATGTATTTTATAAGAAATACTTGACATGAAATGTTGCTAGTTAAAGTTTTATCCTGTTTATTATGAGTGGAATAGAAAATGATTGCTTTGTTAGTTTTGTGCGTACTAACAGCAAATTAACTGGGGAGTTGTGCACTGTAAACCTGTGGAGCTCTTCCTGCAGAGCCAGCTGTTTGCTGGTTTGCTTAGTGCTGAAATTTGTGAAACATTGAAGCTCTGTTTGTAAATGACTGGTTTTGTTCAGTGTTTTTGCAATGCTTAGGAATAAATGTTTTTGTTGGAAAGAATGTGTCGTCTTATATGCCTCAG